AGAAACAAATATATCGTCGTGTATGAACAGTAAAAACGAGAATCATTATACATACACTTAATACTGTACATATACAAAGAAAGAAAAGAACGGAAAAAAAGAATGTCCATTGTGAACGACCTGGACACGACAAGACAAGAACGTGACATCCTGTGTTTGCGGCACGTGCCGCTAACAGCACCAGAAATGAAAATCCGATAAAATAAAGAGTTTAAAATAACTGTCGCTAGCGATCGACCTCAATGTTGTACCAACGATATACCTTTTTTAGGCAAAGCCCTACCCTACCCTGTGACTTCGAAGCCCTGTCCCTACCCTGCAGTGTAGGGCAGGGTAGGGTAAGGGCGCGCTGCACATCTCTAGTATGCACAAACTTCAGGGTTCTCCAATCTTGTTCTATTTTAAATCAATGTAATTGGAGTCGTACACAGAGCTGGGAGATATCTCATTTTGATCAGAAATGTTGGCCCTATTTTCTGGTGTTATAGAAAGTGTTGTTGGATTTGTTTTTTCATCGGAACGTGAAATGTTTTAGAAAGTCAGCTTTTCAAGGTTTAATTACTAAGGGAAGCCGTCAAAACTATGAACGAATCAATCGGATCAAACGAATCATTCGGATCATTCGGTATCGTCCCGATTCGTCGACAAATCGGACACTTCAAAGAATATACATCAAAGAATTTCAAAGGCGGGAGGGGCGGTGTGAGAGTGAGTGTCGACGAATCGGGACTGAATCGATCATTCGAATCATTTGTAGAATAATGTAAAGCGCTCGTCTGTGATGTTTGTATAAGAGAGAAAATATATAAAATCTATCTTTTCTTATCCATTTTATTCATTTTTTTCAATAGATTACTTTTTATTAACTCTTACATATAACACATCAAAGAACACAGTAACTGTGTAATTAATTATAGGTAATATATATATTCTCTTTGGCCTTATCACTTGCTAATATGGTCTTAAACAAATAGTAAGAATGATTTTTCGCCACCGTTGTCATAAAGATCACTCAGAATTCGGACAGATTTTATTTGATTCAGAAATCGTTGTATAACTCTACTATCGTAGTGAGATTCCGTAATATAACGAAATTTCGACGTTTTATTCTTTTTCTAGTTTTCTAGTGAAACAACTGTCAGAGCTGTGCAACATATACAACGATTTCTGAATCAAATAAAATCTGTCCGAATTCTGTGTGATCTTTGTTTAGAAAATACAACACGCTATTTTTTTTAAATAAAGTTAGAAAAGGGGCTCATGCCCATTTTGCAAGCAATTTTATTTTTGATTGTTTTGTGATATCCCAAACTGCAAGCAGGAACTTTTTTTCAAACGTTGTCCAGTTCCCATTTTGCAAGCAAAAAAACTAACAAAAATTTTCCCATTTTGCAAGCACATTATCTAATAGAAAGAAAGAATATATATTATAAATCTAAACGTTCTCTGATTAATTAATCATAATTATTAGAGTACTTAAAACGAATGTTTTTAGTCGCAAAATGAAATCTGTTTTTTTGATCAAACGATTCATAATCTAATCTAGTTCAAAGCGTATTAACGACAGGTTGATTATGAAACAATATAAAGGGAAGATGAGGGACGATAGGAGACACTTCAAATTCCTGAAACGATGCAATTCTCAATACAAAATCATAGTAGCGGTAAAAAGTATCTTATTGCTGAGAGATATGAATATTCATTACGGAGAACAAATAAAAACGGTTCTGAGCTATGGCAATGTGTAAGGTAAGTTGTAAACCATGAATTAGTTAACATTTTGTTTCATTTTACGTAACTGTTTAAACGTGGATGTGGAGGTTCAGCATCAACGTTCAGAGATGCGCTTCAGTTAAAATGTATCCATAAGTGTGTAGTGACGGACAGACAAGTGATTACAAAAGAAATGAAAAAAAGATGTATCACAGAATCCATTCCTGTAACACAAATGTATGAAGAACAGTTGTGTAAAGCTGTGTCGCAAAGCATGAACATCAATAGTAGGTTTATCACCACCACTAAGCATATTTTGTTATTAAAGACAGGTTCTTCTCTAGACATGCATTTTGATTCAGTAAAATCAGCCTTGTATCGATTCCGTAATAGTTACATACCAAAACTACCAAGCACATTATCAGAAGTTGATATCCCACCGAAATGGCAACTGGATAATGCTGGTAACCAATTTTTACGTTACGTGACACCAATGCCAGTTAAGGTTTTGATTTTTGTGACCGATCGTGCTTTAAAGGAACTGGCATTATCTGAACATTGGAATGTTGATGGCACATTCAAAACAACGCCGCGACCCTTCTACCAAGTATATACAATCCATACATATAATAAATTATCAATGAAACCATCAGTTTATTGTTTATTGCCAAGTAAACATCGGGAATCGTACAATGCCATGATTAATGGTTTGCTGTTTCTTGCAAATTCGAATGGTAAGACGTTTCTATATGGTATACGAAGTATGTATTGTTATTATATATATATTTCTTTTGAGGAATAACATTAAATCCCAAAACAATCATGCTGGACTTTGAAGAAGCAGCCATATTAGCTTTCAATCAACATTTTCCAAATGCTTTAACTAAAGGTTGTTATTTTCATTTCACAAAAAATTTATGGAAAAAACTAGCAAAACAAAAAAATGGAACACGAATTTATAAAAATAATAGAGGTATTGTTGCTTTTCTTACTGTTCACTAACCTAAGCAATTCAATCTTTTGTTTTTCAGAAGTTCGTAGTTGCATAGCAAATGTGTTTGCTTTGCCGCTTGTCCCACCAGAACAAATTCCTTCAGTTTTTGCTGATACTCACGATCTCATACCAAGTGACATGACTGCAGTGCAAGTTTTCTTTGATTATGTTTGTGACACATACGTAGAAGGTAAAATATAGAATATATTAGAATGAATCTCCATTACTCATGTCATCTTTGTCTATTTTTTTAGAAGAATATTTCGAGCGTGGATTCTGGAATTTGTTCGATGTTTTTGATTTACGTCCAAAGACAAATAATGCTGTTGAAGGCTATCATCGAAAGCAAAATTCGTAAGGATACTTTGAAATCTGTACTTGGACTATAGCTTATTAACTTATTTTTGCATCTGCAGACGTGTATCAGCTCATCCCAACGTATATCGATGGATAGAACAAATTCGCAAAGAAGAAGATTTCGCGCGGTGCCGTGATATATTAGAATCCAACACTGGCTTACCGTCTAAAAAGCGCCGGAAAGAAAATGAAGAAAACGATTTTGCCTTATGTTTGGCAAAAACAGCTTCAACCATTGAAGCAATTGATATAAATGAATATCTAGAACACGTAAGAAAAACTGCCTACCGATTCATACATAACGTTGGTGGAAAAGACGCGGAGTAGTACATATTGTTTTGTTATACTATATATTTATCGTTCTAATACATACATTTTTTTTGTTAATTACTTGCTTGCAAAATGGGAAAATTTTTGATAAAATGTTTGCTTGCAAAATGGGATATGTAGAAGGCGTGAAAACAGTAATTTGCTTGCAAAATGGGAAGCAACCAGAAAAGGATATTCCGTATTAATTGACGATAATTTATCATCATTGTTTTCTACACTTTCAATCAGATGCAGTATATTTCGTCACTATATGTATGTACGTCCGTCACACTGTCACATGACTATATCTA